AGATTGATTGCCTCATTGTGGATACATTTTGATGGTTATCCAATCAAACATCACTTTGCTTAAGAGAACAAACTAAGCCTTCTGGTCTCTTGTCGAGGACATGCTAGCTGGCAAGTGATAGTATTGTTCACATATAACCAACAAGTTATCATAAGTTCCCCCCTTTTACAAATGATTGTGGTCAAAAATCTAACATTTCTCATATGAGCATATCAGGGTGTGCCACATACATCCCAATTGCTCCACCACAATATCTTAAGTTGATTCTCGTTGGAAATTGAGAATTTGTGTTGGGTATGAATCACAAATGGGAAATTTGTTTTCGAAATTATTATTTTGATGAATCACTTTTCCAACATTAAGGGGGAGAGAAAAAAAAACAGCTAGACAAAGAGATGAGTTGGAATGTGTTATCATTATCTAGTTTTGATCTTCAAATTAAGAAACATGAACCTGAAGTTCATAAGATGAATTATCATTACCAGCTATCAAATGTCTTTACTGACCATACAAAGTGTCCAAGTCATATATACTAGCTGTGAATGCTCCAACTAAATTTGATATCCTTGTTAGATACTCTATTATAAAAAAAATGTGTATGAAAGAGTGCATGAAGCGTGATAGACGAATCGGTTCCAATGATAAACATCCTCGAGAAAGAAAAGGAGCTATAATTAGAATGGTCAACTCGATGACATGAAAACTCAAGAAGAGTAATCAAGAAAAAATATAATTTTAGTTCCAGAAGAACACATGTGTCTGAAAGCTGTGAAAGCGAAGAGATCTCAAAACATATTGGACTACAATACTGGAACTGTAATGAAGTCATTGTCGACGAAAATTGTTATACTTCAATACTGAATATGATATATACAAGTGAGGATCAAGAGTAAAAATCTATTGATGCATGCAAATGATGATGTTATTGGCCAATATAGAAAGAAATCATGAAACTTGCTCAAGGATCATAAAGTTTAAGGACCAAAAGTCCTTGCACATAAAAAAGGGCAAAACTGGCGGGATACAAACAAATTTTTGTCCTATTGGAAAGTATGAAATTGTGAGAGATATAGCACAATGTTTTGCAATGGTTTCTCGAAGAGACCTATCATTGTTTAAGAGGAGTTATACTCCCCTATGGTGGATGCAACTACTTTTTCAAATCAATGTTTGAAAATTGTTGTGATAGCCTATTTGTTTGAATTCCTTGAAGATGTTAAATATATCTGAAACTCCCAGAAGGATTAATTACTCCTAGAAGGATTAATTTACCTGAAGTAAACAAGTAAAGTTCTCGAGAACATATATAGATAGACTAAAAAAACCCCTTGTGTGGGTTGAGACAATATAGATGAATGTGAAATACTCGTCTAAGTGAACACCTACAACAGTAGGGTGAATGGACCTTAAAAAGTTAAATCCGGATAGAGTCATTAGAGCATTTGCATTGTGCATATATAGTTGTGTTGTCTGTATGTGCTTCAAGGATTTTAAATTCTTGATTTATGAGTTGTGATTTACTTTAAAGTATGAGTTGTGTTTTATGAGTGTGCTTTGTCTAGTTCATCTGTTTCTATGATGTGTGTTTTGTTAATATCTTACGTGATATGAAAGAATTGCTTGCTTCAATTTGTTTTAGTCAAGTTTTTTTTTTGTGACGATCTCATATTATGTTGATTATATGAGTATTATTGGAGCTCCTGAAGAGCTTCCTAAAGATGTTGATTTCTTAGAGACATAAGTTAAATTGAAGGATTTAAGATCCTTTTTATGGGCAAGGAAGGTAATGTTGAAAAAGTGGGAAAGTAATTTTGCATGCACGAATTGTATTCATCAAATAACATTAGGATCCTAAGATCACTAGAAGCGACCAAAGATCCATTAAGAAGTCAAGAAAGAAGTGAAACATTAGGTCCTGAAGTACCATATGTTGATGCATCAGAGCACCAATGCACCTTGCTAGCCAAGCACCATATAAACCATCATTTTGGTGTTGATAATATTAGCAAGATACAATGTTTCCCTCGTTGGAACATTGGAAAATACTTAGTTACCTCCGGGAACAATATGTGCGATTGTTCTATTTTGGTATTATCAAAGAGATATTTGGTGAACTATATATTCATATCCTATAATACCATTTGATCCTCATATTGGTTGATCGGAGACGAGCTATCTCGTACATATGGTGATATAACTGTTATATATAGAAACAAAACAAACAATAATAGACAAGTCCTGAATGTATTTCGTTACACTTTGTGATCCACCATATCTAAAGGACTTGTGGCTATGAACTATTTCCAAAGGAAATGATCCTGACGATCATGTATGAAGAAAATCTAAAGATCATGCATCAAATTGACAATCTAGAAGATTGTCCACTAACTCACTCCCGTCAACAATATTTCTAAAAGTTGTTCGTGAAATTTGAGTTCAACGAATCAAAGATTTGAAGTGATGTGATCATGAGGGGGAGCATATACGCACTGCACTCTTTTTCCCTTAACCATGGTTTTTTTCCCACTGGATTTTCCTGGTAAGGTTTTTAATGAGGCAGTATGAGATAGCGTAATGCAATCTAGTGGTCATCCAAGGGGGAGTATTATGTAAATATTGATATATGGATGACCATTGCCATTACCACATTAGATGCTCACTTGGGAGTTACATGTAACCCATATTCCTACATTATTATCTCTCATTCATATGCATTGATATAAGGATGTAGTGGTTACCAATGTGTGCCTATAAATAGAGCATATTATTGTATCAAAAGTGAAGAATGAATAAGAAAGCTCACTTCCCCCTCTCTTCTTTGTGTCTTTCCCTCTCTAATCTTCTCTTGTAGTTGTTTATATTTTCCATTAGTTTTATAACAGTGACAATAATATTTTACTTGTATTAGTTTCTCAACATTACCATGGCTGGGCCGTCTAATTCAATCTCTTAATTTTGCTTTTTTCCCCTCTAGAAGTGAAATATATAATAATAATTATTATTATCTATGGGAAGTAGGGAGGAAAATATATCTAGTAGATTGAGAGACGATTTGTCGTCCCAAGGAGGAAGGTGGGCTCGTCCTCAGGAATGCAACCCGGATGAACGAAGCCTTTATGTTGAAGATATCCTGGAGATTATAGACTGAGCATGAGAGCTTATGGGCACAAGTAGTTTCGACGAAGTACTTGAGACGTACGGAGGATGGTTTGCAGCCGAGAACAAGTGGGCGGCTATCGAATCTATGGCGAGGGGTCATCCGAGTTCGGTACCTTATGCCCGAGGTCACCATTTGAAACGTTCGAAGCGGTAGACAAGTAAGGTTTTGGGTGGATCGTTGGTTACATGGACCCATTATAGCCGAACTGGCAGCTAATCTCCCTCAAGAGGCTCTCACGCAGTTGGTAGCGAAAATGGTCTTGAATGGGGACTGGAACATACCCTATATCCAGAATTTTTTGCCTAATGATATTTTCATGCATATCAAGTTACATCCTATCCCGCAGGAGCAAGAAGAGGACATCCCGGTGTGGCGTTATACCCGCAACGGATGCTTCTCCCTGAAAGTAACATATGAGATCACAGACGATGCGGAACAGCTCGGCGGGCACCATCCGATATAGCAAGCTATTTGGAGGATCTGGACTACTCAGCGACTTTAGACATTTTTCTAGCTAATATCCCACCGCAGGCTGCTAACGAACTGTGAGAGGCAGCAGAGACACCTCTCCTCGGCTACTAGCTGCCCAATTTGCGGAGCTGAAGGGGAGTCTACCCTCTATTTATTCGAGACTGCCCTTACTCGAGGGCGGCTTGGTCGAAATTTTTGCAGGATGGGCCTGATGATATATTCTTCCAGGAAGATTTTACGAAGTGGGCCCGTCACTATATTACATGTAGAAGCTTGGTCATTAATCCCACAAAATTTGCGGTTATGTGTTGGGTGCTATGGAAACAACGGATCAAGACTGTCTTCGAGCAGCAGCTTGAGGAAACCCATAGGCTGTGTACAAATGTGGATACCCTCTGTCAGCAGATTCAAGTGGCCTCAACCAAGGTGACGCAACTCTTCAGGCAAGGAAGAGAGTACACTCATAGACTCATTGCGTGGTTGCTTCCACGGAAAGGATGGGCATGCGTGAACACAGACGGTTCCGTGGGAGGTAATGCAGCGGCAGGAGGGGTGTGCGTGGTGAGGACGAGAGATTCCTCAGGGATTTCTCCGCAAACATGAGGATAGCTCAATTACAACGGCGGAGTTGCAGGTTTGGTACATGGCCTTCGATTAGCTTGGGATCTGGGTATCCGGAAGCTAGTGATGCAGACGAACTCAATAATAGTACTTAAACTCATCCGTGTAGCGGGTGACAAACATCACTGTGCAGGTTTGGTAAATGAAGCTCAGCAACTCCTCGCACTAGCATGGGAGGTAAAAGTCATGCATGTGTACCGAGAGGGGAACATGGTGGCAGATTATTTGGCTTCCTTGGGTAGTAGTCTCCCCCCAGGATTGCATGTTTTTACAACGTCTGTTAGAAACAAATAATTTACAGCTTTTGGTTATTTCGTATTATTGTCGCTCTTTGATAATTGGGGGATTAATTGGGGTATTTAGCAATAAACAGGGAGTCGATTGTTATGTTTTATTGGTTGGGTAGGAGATAGGGAATTGGCAGATTATATAATCTGCAGTAGGGTGTTATTTTGACATTAAGCAATCAATTACAGAAAACCTAAAACTAATCCCTCTCTCTCTCGTTCCTCCCTGCGCCGACCCCCTCCTCTCTTCTTTTCTTCCCCCTAAGTTGCGCACAACAACCCCCTTTTCCCTCTCTTATTTCCCAATTTCCCCTATTCCCAATCCCAAGCTTGGTCAATCCCTAATTGATCTAGCTAATTTCCCTAATCCCAAACCCGTTAGAAACTTTGTTTCTAACATCTGGTATCAGAGCCCGGACGAGAGTGAGTTCCTTTGAGCTCTTGAACCAGGGAAGGCAGCAATGGTATCGACGAAATCAATGAAAGCTGCAGAGAAGGCGGCTCAGACAGCCGAGAAAGGCACCGATGCGGGCGACGTAGGGCCCGACAGGGAGGTGGAGGATCTTACGGAGATCGAGGAGCTGAGGAAGGTCGTGGAGACACAAACAGAGAGGCAAGCGCAGGTGGAGGAGGAGCTGAATGGGCTGCAGGTGAAGGCCAGAGATCACAGCCGCACCCTTGACGCGCTGTTGGCGGCAGTGGAGGCGTTGCAGGGGCAGGTGAGCAGCCTAACGGAGGCGTGGAAGAAGGGTGAGGCCGGAGCTGGTGGCGGTGGGCAGCCGCAGGTGGAAGGAGGAGCGCCGGGGGAGGGCTCCGCCTCGGTAGCGGCGCTCGGCGGCCAAGACGCCGTGCGGGTCTCGGCGGACAGGGAAGCGGACGGGCCGGGCGAGAAAGGGGGATCGGTGGCGGCCAACCCTAGCCGGCCGCCCGTCTCGCGTACGAGCCACGTCTCTTTCGGCCCAACAACCAGGAGATGGTCCACGCGCGTGGCAAGGCCAAAATGGCCGAGTACGTGGACCGGGACCTGCAAGCGGGCTTGGACGGGGAAAAGTTGGTGGACCTGGAGCAGGAGTTTGAACATGGGCATTGGGCCAACGAGCTGTATGGGTCAGGGGCGGATTACCGAGGGGATGAAGGCAACCAGGTGGGCCGATCCGGGATGGAAGGTGGGTCGGGCGGAGGTCGGAGGGAGGCGGGCCGCGGCTGGGAGATGGGGCGGCCGGGAGCTGTGGGCCAAAGCCCCTCGGGCCGGGGCGACATGGGCCGAGCAGTGGTCGGGTCGGGCCCCCAGTGGTCGGGTCGAACCTGGTCGGACCGAACCCGGTCGAACCCTGGTCGAACCGGATGAGTCGGCGGGGCACGCAGCCCAGGCGGCCAGCAGGGCTTACCCAGCTCCTCAAGGGCAGTTCGACGAGTACGGCGGATCTCATCCTCCTTTTGCGAATCAACGGGGCACCGGAAAGGAACCTATGAGGTCAGGAATGGGCGATCGAAGGTAGAGGGATGAGTTAGGCCAAAGAACGAGATATCAGGAGGAGGAAGAGGACGACTGGGGATGCGATGGAGACCCGCGATTCTCGTAGCACTATCACAGTGGGGGCCCCAAGCTATGGGAGGAATGCCGGTTATCCCCGGGGTGGTGAGGAAGAGGATGACATGGTCTTTAGAGCTAAACCTCCCACCATTGAGTTTCCAAAATTCAATGGTCGTGAGGATGCAGGTCTGTGGTTATACTCAGCGGAGCGATGGTTCAAGAACCACCCCACTAGGGAAGAACGGAAGGCTCAGCTAGCTTCCTATTCTACCTGGAGATGCACTGCAGTGGTGGTAGTGGATGGAGCGGACCTATGCAGAAGCTCATACGTTAATCACTTGGCCTATGTTTAAGGAGGAGTTGCGGTATCAGTTCGGAAAATCTGAAGGATGGGCTCTGGAGCAGCTGGCCAAGCTGCGCCAGACAGGGACGGTGGCGGAGTATAGGGCCGAGTTCTTCAAACTGGGTAACCAATGCAAGGGCGTTCCAGAAGAGACATTGGTGGGCCTATGCATGGCGGGACTCCGTCCAGAGATTGCAGCTGCTGTCCGGGTATTTGAGCCAGATTCACTACGAGCTGTTTTCCATCTTGCAGGTAATAAAGAGGAGGAACTGGCTAGCTGGCGGGGAGTGATAGGCCGATATCAGAAGCCGAGCGGAGGAGGAAGTGGTAGCGGGCCGAGTAGCGGGTCGGGGGTCCCGGCGCCTGGTCCGAGCACGAGAGGGGGTGCGACGGCTGGTCCACCCACCGCGGCCATTCGAGCGGGACCGAGGGCACCGCCCAAGGGATTTACTAGGCTATCTCCTGCTGAGATCGAGCAGAAGAGGCGAGAAGGAAAATGTTTTAACTGCGACGAGAGGTTCACCTTTGGTCACAAATGCGGGAAGCCTGATCTAATGTTCTTGGTGGGGCGCTGGGAAGATGAGGCCGAGGATGAAGCCGTAGAGGACTCTGGAGCGGGGCAAGAGAAGCTTCAACCTTGAGGACAAGGTTGCTTCCCAATGAGGCAGGTATGTTAGAAACAAATAATTTACATCTTTTGGTTATTTCGTATTATTGTCGGTCTTTGATAATTGGGGGATTATTTTGGGTATTTAGCAATAAACAGGGAGTCGATTGTTACGTTTTATTGGATGGGTAAGAGATAGGGAATTGGCGGATTATATAATCTGCAGTAGGGTGTTATTTTGACATTAAGCAATCAATTACAGAAAACCTAAAACTAATCCCTCTCTCTCTCTTTCCTCCCTGCGCCGACCCCCCCCCCCCCTCTCTTCTTTTCTTCCCCCTAAGCAGCGCACAGCAGCCCCCTTTTCCCTCTCTTATTTCCCAATTTCCCCTATTCCCAATCCCAAGCTTGGTCAAACCCTAATTGATCTAGCTAATTGATCAAGCTAATTTCCCTAATCCCAAACCCGTTAGAAACTTTGTTTCTAACAACGTCTAGTCCGACGCTAAACTACAAGTTGTACTTTGATTTGGTTGGGGTCCAGACACCCCATTTGGTTGTTAATGTTAAGGTTGGGGTGCTTCTTTAAGCCCTATTTGTTACAAAAAAAAAAAGTTATGAGTAACGCAGAGAGTTCAGAGCTTTGCAGTAGTAGGGAGGAGTCTAGATCATGTCAGTAACCCTATCCTCCGTAACCGTGCATAACCTCTTCCTCTATCCTCCACATGTCTACATCTGAGTCATTCTCTTTTATTTAAATAAAACATGGAGGGGCAGTAGGGTAATTTTGCACCCACCCTTGATTTAATGTTGACGACCTGGCGCTGAGTTCTGACCGAACGTGAACCCCACTCTCCATCACCACGCGTTCCCCTCTGACACTCTTTTATCTATCATTAAAAGAAAAGATAAATGATTTCTTCTCTTTCCCATCAACAACTAGGGATGGCAATAATATCCGTAACCGTGGATAGCCGCCCGAATCCGACTTATTTGGGTAGGGTAAAACCCGACCCCAAATGATTTTTAGTGGGTATGGGTAAAACCCGAACCCGAATATTATGGGTAATGGGTGGGCATGGTTTTCTCACTATCCAACCCGAACCCGCCCGATTATACAAATGCATATGTATTTTGTCTAGAAATAATCAATTTTTTCTCTATAATATTTTATATTTAGCATATAAATATAATATTTTTATGAAATTGTAATGTTTTAATTAATTTTCTTCATTCTAGTGAATTATTGTCGTACTTTTCATCTTACATAACGTGAGAATACGTGTGAATATTAACATATTGGTTAGAGTTCTAAAGAAAAACTATTACCCATGGATAACCGTGGATACCCGAAACCCGAACGGGTATGGGCATAGTTTGAATTTTCTACCCGTTTCTTATGTGGGTATGGGTATGGGTAAAACCCGAACTACTTTGGGTAGGGTACCGGATATGCACTATCTGTCCCCGACCCATTGCCATCCCTATCAACAACTGAAAGAGAGAGAGAGAGAAGTACATGCTCTCTCCGCTTTAATTCTATCTCTAAAAATAAATATGAAATCAACAATCTTAGCTCTCTCTACTTCAACTCCAACTCAAATTGAATGATGATTTTTTTCATTTAATGATTCTCTGCTAAAAAGGGTAATTACAAGTATGAATATGAATATGACTATCACTTTCTACTACCATGGTAAAATATGCTAAAGAAAATTACAAATCTAATAACCATACAATACCATATGTTATAACATGCTAAAATAAAATTAGAAATCTAACTATCGTAAAATACCACATGGTAAGAGAATGTAAACCATATAACAACAAATATAAATCTAATTACCACCCTCTACGACCATAGTAAAATATGGTATGCATAAAAATACATTTAGTTACCACACATTACAATATGTATACTGTGGTATATATAGTTACGACTTTCTCGCTTTCTTGTCCCTTTATTATCTTCTTACTCTTCTTTCTCTGAATTGTTGTCGATTACCACCCTCTACTATCATGGTAAAATATGTTAACCATATGTATAAATCGAGTTACCACACATTACCATATGGTATAGTATGATAACCACAATACACATCTAGTTACCACACAATGCCACCATGGTATAATATGGTAACAACAATATACATATAACTAAGACATACTTCACATGCCATTCTTCTGCCTCCTCTCGTTTCCTCCTCCGCAATCTAGAACATCAAAAGAAGACAAAAAGAGAAAGATCGGAATTGAAAATTCACAAACAAATACTAAAATATATAATATGCAAACTCGACTCACCTAGATCTGTTCTCTCTTTGTCGAAATGGAGTGTCACCAATTTTGAGGCTGAGGACTTGACAAAAGAAGGAGGCTACACTTTTCCTTCGTCGATTGCTAGAGAGAGAAAAAAAATGAAAAAGTAAAAAAGATATTAGATCTGGAGAAGAAGGAGATTGGGAGAGAGAAAAAATGAAGAATTAAAGAAGAGATTAGATCTAGAGGAGGAGGAGATTGGGAGAGAGTAAGGAACAAAGAAAGAGGAAAAGAGAGTTGCAAATAAAAGATAGTAACTCTTTCTTCTATTGAAAAGCGAGCTAATAAATGCTGGACAAAATAATAAAAAAAAAGGAAACAATTAAACTTCAAAAAGCGGACAAAAAAACCTCTCCCTATCCCACATCAAGCCTAGCCACAAGAATGCTCGTCCTAGATATACGGCTCTTGGTGAGTTACTAACCAACGAGGCGAAACCAAACTCTGAACACATCATCAAACAGCCTTTGGCCCCATACCCGAAAGTTTGCGGTTTTCGCTAGAATTATGGGTGATGATGCGTGTACAAATCCAACACACATTGTCAATTCAATTCTACATTGTCATATTAATTGCGGCCAAATATACAGTTGTGGACTATACTGTACGTAACGTAACCACATACTTATGCAATTCAGCTTCACCGTACCAATTAAATTGAAGTTATGTACAACCCGCCTCTTTTGAGTTGGGTTTGGATTTTAGATTACACAACTCGTAGACACCGACCCAACCCGTGTTCCAATTATTGGTATGAGTTCAAATCCAAAAAAAATATTTATGTCGTATATAGCCATACTTATGAGAAAATTAAGATATTTCGCCATGTTTTTCTCTTAAGGTCCGCCTAATCTAATGCATTCTCCAGCTTAAAATTTATACATAAATTTAATATAGCTATGATTCACATAATTCTTTTTCTTGTGTACAATTTTAATAGAATAACATATTATGGATGCACTTATTTGTAACCTTTTTAGCCTATTTTAACAAATGTCGTGAAAAAAACTAGACATAAGTTGAAGGAAATTAAATTTTATTAAAATTCAAACAACATATGTGAATTTTGATACCTTTCACCTCGGTTTATTCGTTTGAATTTTTAATTAGTTATAAAATATTTTTATGGTTTAGAATAATTACATATTTTGTGTTGGGTTGGATTTTTACTTAAAAATATCGTCAACCCAACCCAACCCAATTAGAAACAAACCGTAGGGTATAGATTTTTTTTGGGTGGGTTTGAGTTTAATATTTCCCAAACCGTAGTACATAGGTCGGGTGATTAAAATGTCTAAACCCGGACCACCCAACCCATGTACACCCCTAGACTGGTAACACATCCCGCTGCAGCTATACTAGAATCAACTAATGCTCTTCGTGCAAGCATTGCATCTCACGCCAGGTACTCGACATCGACAGTGATAAGGCCAGCCAGGGTCAAGATTAGGACTTGATTTGTTGTGATCTTTCCCCAGCCAGGTAGTCGATGTATACTTTCTATTGACAATGGTTTGGTACATCAATCAACCTGAGTTTTGGTCGCTGCATTTTCCTTAAATACAACAATCTAACTCCTAAAACCATACATTCAAGCAAACACCATTCATAAGCTTGACACAGTTTAAATACAGCATGCAGCTGACCTGTAACCTGTTCGTGATAAATACCAATTCATCTACTTTAAATAGCTTTGGACTGTGCTAAAACAACACCAAACTATACCATACCAGGTAATCAGCGGTCCCTTCCCTTTCACTTATAGATAATCATTCCCTCGTAAAGCCATTGCCTTTCATTGTACTGCTGCGGAGGTGCAAGCCTTTCGCCACCTTCAGCTTCTTCTGACGACCAGCTTCAACTCCATCAACAGATTGCCGCTCTTCTATTGATTCAGAAAAATCAAACCAACCAGAACATAGAATCGAGAGAGAAGATATTATCAGATAGCAGGCTACATAAATAAATATGGACAAAGAAAACCAGACGTCTGATTGTCTCTCTGCATCGATCTTGAATCTTGATTTCTCAAGCAATTAGACAGAATGGGTGTGTCAGTTAAAAAGAAAAAGGCACTGAAGATACATTCACCCATTTTTTATGAAGCTGTCAAAACCAATCAACAAACTACTATAGTTTATCCAATACTTATAAGAAGAAACTATGGTTATTGACATCTAATGAGAATAGGAATTCTAACTTTTACCATTAAATATCAAGAATGAAAATTACTATAGTTCATCAAATACCAAAAATTGATAGTCATATTTTCATGAAGTGTAGGACAAATTTTATTGATCACTGGAAAGATTATGAAGTACAAACAGAGGCATACGTTCAGTAATCTTTTAAAGAAAAGTTGATGCCAATAAGACATTTATCATTTATAAAGGAACAGGTTCAACCATATGCTACACAAAACTAACATAAATAAAAATGGTCATATATGCCTCTAGATCTGTCTATAACACTATTCAGAACAAATATGTTACCGAGACAAACTCATGCAGCCGCAGGAACAAAGAAGAAGGTAAATTCTAACAAGTAGTAAATACCCGTTATTGAGGGAGTTAACGGTTCGTTGATCTGAACCCAACAGCTGTAGTTTCCATCGTACAAACCTCGCAACTTTTGATACCTTGGAATTCGAGTAGGCCAACAATAGATCTTGGGCTGGAAAACCCTCCAACGATCAAAATATTGAGTTGCTACAGAGATGAACTCTAGCTCTCCCCCGCTTCCCAAATCGCAAAACACGTGACAATGCCCAGGGCTACCAACACTACCGGGAAGATTAGTGAAGAAGGCAATTTCTGGCATCTCTGGATGCAGAGAAGGAACACCAAGGAACAGGAGTTCATAGTTATCCCCAGATGATGACTTCAAGGCACTTTCACATACCTTTCTCCAAAGTTTACAGTCATCTCGTAGTCTCCAAACACTCAAGACCATAGGTTTTTGGTGCTCGTACACACTCAAATGCAAAGCACCTTGTGAAACTGAAATACTCCAATGCTTTTTGGAGCTGATAGGGGAAACATCAATAAGAGTGGGAGGTTTATCAAAGCGAAAAGGATCGAAACCAGCAATCAAAGGTCTATACAACCCAGCATCTAAGTCTTGCGCTCTAGCATAAGACAAATACAAAACACCGTTGCTGCATGAAACAACATTATTCCTCCCGCATCTGCGATAACCATCAAGAACAATAGCGTGCTTCACCCATTGACCCGACTCCGAACAGAACACATCCAGTTTCATAGAATTCCCAACTTGGTAGACGCACACAACCCGAAACCGATACTCATGGCCAAATCCTACATCAAGACTATTAGATACTAAGGGTTCACAAACTAACCTCGCACAGAATCCCGTAAGCTCCAGTGGCCTTTCAGGGGCCAAAGGAAGGGCGATCCATTGCTCCGTAAACGGATTGCAGAGCAAGTACGATCTGGCAAGCTGGGGATTAGTGCGGCGGTAAAATACCTCCCCGAACCCACATAGAAGCAAGTCCTTGAAGCAATCCAAAACTGCGAAATGCTCTGGAGGGCGGGCGGGCATGGGGAGAAAGGTCAGGAGGCTGGCGGGTGAGAGGAGAAGCATCGGAGGAGGCGGTTTGCTCTTGCTCTGGTGGTGGGAGAGGAAGCGGCGTCTGAAGCAGGGATCAGAAATCAGGGATCTCCACTGCTTGCAGACGGCTTTGCTCCGGCACGCGGATCTGGGATCCGGAAAGCTTCGAATCAAAACTTCTATGAGGAGATCGTCTCCGAGTTCGCTAATCATCATCGGAGAAGGAGTATTGACTTCTGGAAGTGACCGTCTTTTTCTGCCGACTCGAAATCGATCCGAAACCGCCGTGCAGGTTTCGGTGGCCATGGCGGTAGGCGGGTGGAAGGAGGTAGGGTTAGTAGTCAGCACCAGCACAAGTAGAAAACAGGGAAGACATCGACCGAGAACCCCTAATTCTCCACAGACATAAAATAAATAAATAAATAAGACGGTCACCGAAAAATAAAATCTTTTTCCATACATATTTAGACCGGAAACCTTATCCGCTCGCAGAGCCCAAGCCCAGTTAAGTTTGGGGCTAGGTAATGGGCGCCTTCTAAAAAGGCCGTGATACAATTTCACCAACGCCGGCGGACGGCCGGCCGGCCGGCCAGACGATTGGTGTGGGCGGGGCACAGACATTCGGAGTGGTTCGTTCTTGTGACTAGCTCTTCTCCTCTGACTTTATACGAGTCTTCTCTCCTTTTTCACAGTCGATTTGCTCGCACTTGGCAATTTGCCCGGTCGTGGGTCATCGGATGCTCTTCGGCTAGAGATTAGTAGACAAAGCGCTCTCAATCACACTCACTATCAACAAAAATTGCTCTTGTAACGGAGAATTAAGTGAAAGACTTCCAAGGGGTGTGGTATGAAAACGTTGAAAAGTGGTCAACTTTCCCTCCAATTCAAACTGTTGACTGACGATGTAAAGTAATAAATATCTGGGTAAGATTCTCGAACCTTCCCCTTGAGTATGTGAACTTTAAGGGATTGAGCAAGACTGCTAGTTGGCTGGATATTCCTCTGGTGTGGATCAAACCACTAGGGGGGGAGGGCGTTTGGGGTTTGCTAAAATTCTTGTTGAGTTACGCGCGAATGGTGATTTCCCTGATCATGTTCTGATTTGGCCAACTGACGATTACTCGATCCTGGTGGGGGTGACATATAGCCATCTTCTTCCGGTTTGTCAGGCGTGCAAGACATTTGGACTTGATTGTGGTTGTATAAGGGAGGGTAAGGTATGGGTTCCGAAGGTAGTTGAGTCTGATCTGGTAGAGGTACTTACTCCAGTAAAGAATTCTGCTAAAGGCAAAGAGGTTGTGGTGGATGCTCCTGTTGATGTTAACTGTGGGGCTACTGAGGTGGTGATTGGGTCTAATAGGGTTGAAGTACCTTTAGAGAGTACGAGGAATTGTACTCAGGGTGTAAATCTTGAGGCATCATTCCAACAGGTTTCTGATGGTTTGTCACCTCGGCTTCCATCCGATTTGGAATTTCAGAAAGTTGTACATGGGGCTAAGCCGAGATGGTCGCCATTAACTAGTCCTACAAGTGTTCTATCTACTTCACATTCGTTTGCTGCGTTGGAAGGTTTGAATGAGGATAGAGTTGTTCAACTCCAGAGTGCTCCTAAAAAAGGTGGGAAGAAATCAGGGCTACAACAGCCCTCTTCTCCCCAATGATTCTTCTTTTTTGGAATGTTAGAGGGTTTAACAAACCCTCTAAAAGGAAGGACCTGGCTTTGGTTCTTCGCAAGTGTATAGTAGAAGTGGTGGCTGTAATTGAGACAAGGGTTAGGAAAGTAAAAGCGGAGGAGGTAGTGGAAGATTTCTGCAAGGACTGGAAGAGACATCTGAATTATGTCGACTCTGAGCTTGGGCGAGTATGGTTGTTCTGGGATCCAGAAGTGGTGGATGTAAGAATTCTGCTCCCGAGGAAACATTTTGTACATTGTCTGGCTACCTCGATTAGTGGGGAGTCATTATTTTTCACTGTTGTTTATGGCTCTAATGATGAAATGGAGAGGAGACAGACTTACCAAGAATTGGCTCAAACAAAGATCAGTGGGATTCCATGGTTAGTATGTGGGGACTTTAATGCTGTTTTGGCGCTTGAGGAAACTTCTAATCTTCGTGATAGAACAAGTTGCATGGATGAGTTCACTAAATGGGTGGCTGATATGGGTTTAATTGATCACAGAATGGTGGGACCTCAGTTTACTTGGTCTAATAAACATGCAAATAACCCTATAGCTAAAAAGTTGGATAGAGCTTTGGTCAATGAAGGTTGGTTTGATACTTTTCCTGACTGTAGAGTTAATTTGCTAACAACTCCTTTTACTGACCATTGTGGTGTACTGGTAGCAACACAACCAGGTCAGAAGTCTTTCCCAAAACTGTTTAAATACTTTGAATTTTGGGCGGAGGATCCTTAATTCCTCCCTCTAATTCAAAAGGCTTGGGAGCTGGATGTTTAAGGATCCCCTATTATGGTGGTAAAGGCAAAACTGAATGAGGCCAAGAAGTTGTTAAAGAAGTTTAATAAGGAAGTATATGGGGATCTGAGTGGTCAGGTGAGGAATATGGAATCTCGGCTTAATTTCGTGCATATTAATGCCTTGGATGAGCCTGGGGAACAAGTGTTTAAGGAAGTTGCTACTCTGGAAGCAAAGCTGAGGGAATTAAAGAAGGCTGAAGAAAGCATGTACAAACAAAAGTCAAGGATTGATTGGCTTGCTCTGGGGGAATGTAGTACTAATTACTTTCGTCTTGCAGTGAAAATTCGAAATGCCAAGAAAGCAATAAGGAAGTTGGTGACTGAATCTGGTGAGGAATTGTTTGACAGTGAGCAGATTGCAGCTGAGGTGGTTCGCTTTTATTCTTCATCCTTGGGCAAGGTTGATTCACAAGTACATCCGAATAGAGAGAAACTTGACAGTTTGATTCAGAAGCGGTTGACTGAAGATGAAAGAGACTTTCTATGACTTCCCTTTACTTCTGAGGATGTGCTGAATGTGGTTAAAAATATGGATCCTCATAAAGCCCCGGGGCCAGATGGTTTCTCAGCGGGGTTTTATAGAGCAACCTGGTCTATTATTGGAGAGGATGTTACAGGTGTAGTGCTGGATTTCTTTCATTCAGGGCGTCTTCCAGGTAGTGTTAACTCTGCTGCCATTACTCTCCTGCCTAAAATTCCTTTAGCTTGTGCTCTTAAGGATTTCGGACCCATTTCTTGCATCAATTTGCTTTATAAGATTATTGCAAAGTTACTGGCAAATCGCTTGAGAAAGGTCCTCCCCTCAGTCATCAGTGGTAATCAATCTGCTTTTATTGAGGGTAGGAGTATTGTTTATAATATTCTTATGGCCTAGGAATTGGTTAGTGGATATCATAAAAAGCAGTTGTCATCGAGGTGTGCTATAAAAGTTGATTTGATGAAAGCATTTGACTTGGTTAATTGGGAATATCTATTCTTAATGATGTCTGTTATGGGATTCCCTGGACAATTCATTAGATGAATATCTTTGTGTGTCAAAACAGTCCGGTTTAGCATATGTGTAAATGGTGGCTTATGTGGTTACTTTGGGGCTAAACGTGGAGTTAGACAGGGGGATCCTTTATCCCCTTATCTGTTTACCATTGCAATGGAGGGTTTAACTGTTGTTCTTAATGCTGCGGCTCTTTCTGGTCTCATTCCCTACCACCCACAGTGTAAGAGAGTACAGTTAACACACCTTTGCTTTGCTGATGATCTCTTAATTTTTACTGAAGGATCTGGTAGGGTTATTGCTAGTGTACAGAACCTTCTCCATGAGTTTTATGAGTTGTCTGGTCTTCAGTGCAATCCTCGCAAGTGTGAAGTGTATTTTGGGGGGTGTTCGGTTGATTTCAAGCGTCAAGCTTTGGAAGTTTCTGGTTTCCAAGAGGGTAAGCTTCCAGTTCGTTATTTGGGACTCCCTCTCATCTCTGGTAAACTCTCCTCTGCTGATTGTGCTAGGTTAGTTGACAAAATTACTCAGAAAACTAAAACCTGGAGAGTCAAAAAGCTTAGTTATGCTGGACGTTTGCAACTTATATCGTCTGTTTTTATGGGAGTGCTACAATACTGGATGCAAGTGTTTTTCCTTCCCAAAAAGGTGCTTAAGCAGGTACATAAGGTATGCTCCAACTTCTTATGGCATGGTGGTGATGAGGGGAAAGCTAAAGTTAGCTGGGAAAGATTAGCAAGGCCTCGAAAAGGAGGAGTGGGGCTTAAGGAACTGTTTTCATGGAATCAGGTATGTACTACCACGATGATTTGGCTACTGCTCATGTAGAGTGGGACTATATGGGTGGCCTGGATCACGCAATATCGGATTAAAACAGGTAGTATATGGACAATAAGGTCCACTTCTAGTAGCTCTTGGACATGGAGGCGCATTCTTAACGTTCGATAAGATGTTCAAAGGCACTTCTCAGGTCAGGGGAGTTCATTATGCTGGGATAACTCTCATATGCAGCGTTATTCAGTTGGTCTAGTATGGGATTCTATTAGAATGAAATGGCCAAAGGTGGATTGGCATAAGCTGATCTGGGGAAAGGGGTTTCTACCTGGACCTAGTTTCTTAGCTTGGCTAATTCTCCAGGATAGTATTGTTACGAAAGACAAACTGATAAAATGGGAAAAACAGATTGATAGTACCTGTGTTTTATGTTGCAATCTACCTGAATCGAGGGAACATCTATTTTTTTACTGTTCTTTCTCGAAGGAGCTACTAATGTTTTTACACTGTGAGGACTGGTTCTGCAGGGGAGATTGGACTAGCACTTTGTCAGCAGCTTGTATGCTCAGTCGTAAAAACATAGCTGCAGGGAGAATGGTGGGGGTGGTTTTGGTGTTTAATTGCTGCTACTATCTGGAAATAAAGGTGCAAGCGGGTTCATGGAGATGCTGGTCGAAGTGCAGAGCTGCTGGGCAAAACGATTTTACAGGATTTGCAATTCATGAGCTTATTTAATGGCAATGTGCAGCGGGATTTGCAGTCATTAGGAATGGGTCCTTAAATTAGTTTTGATTGGTAGGGTTGTAGTGATGTGGTGGTGATTTGTGATGGGTTGCCCTCTTATGTTACGTATTTCCTTGTTTACCAGGGATGTTTTGTCCCTTTGTTGTATCAGACTCTTACTTTTTCTAGTTAATGAGAAGAACTGATTCAACGAAAAAGAAAAAAATAAGTATAAATAAATAAAAATTAGAATTTTCGATTCAATCCAACAATTCAATCAATTCATTAAAATATTCGATTAATCTATTCATTTATCTAAATACAATTAGATTGATAAATTCATGGATTGTTAGCAAATTACAATTTAGTATCTATGTCTTTTATTTATATGTATATATATATACCATACATTTTGGTACCTAAAAATATGACATTTTAGTACCTAAATTATTCAAAATTTACATATTGATCCAATGTTTGGATGTCACATGGATCCATAATCGAATCCACCTATCCACGGATCGAATCGATTTGCCACCACCAAATACGGGTCAACTTCTAGTATGGCTTTGACAATGCTTGTCCAAATACAAGTGGTATCCAACATATGATTTCGCTTTACCAATTTGGTGTTGCAAAATAAGGCGTAACTCAACTCAAGCTCTCAAATTG